CAATCCTCCTCCTTTTTTTCCCCCAAAGCCCCAGTAGATAGTTGTACGCCATAGTTGCACATCCTTCTAGTTGCTGTATGTGGGACGCTGCCTCAACATGGCGGGAGAAGCGGTGCGTCGGTGCGCGCCCGGGATCCGAACCCCGGGCCACCAGTAGCGGAGCGTGCGCACTTAACCGCTAAGCCGCGGGGCCGGCCCCCAAATATTTTCTTTTTTCCAATATGATTTCATATTTGACCCTTGAGATAATTAAATGTTTTCCTTTTTCAATAATCCTTTTATTCTTGGTTTCTTGATTTCAACACTCCTCTTTTCATAGGCCTAAGACCTCAATTCTGGTCCCACCGTTGAGTATTAAAACCTCCAGATTACCAAGACTAATGCTCCACCCTCTACCCCCTCCACACTGCAGCTTCAGCATCAGCTCGCCCACTAACTACTTTGCATTCTTTGTTTCTGGTCCCTGGAAATCTCCCTTACTTTCCTACTACCTCAGTAAGTGTTTTAGGTGTTCATAGTGGGAGGGTTTTCCCATGATTTAGTCCACAACACTCTTCGAGGGTCTCTCCTCACCCCTGACAGCTTCTTATCCCTGGTGATACCTCTACCTATTGCTATGCTTAATGACTACACTCTGGACCTTTTGGTCTAGGCCATACTTGATGTTCATTTAAACCATATTTCACCTCTGTGGAAACAATGAAGAAGTGTAGATAGAGGATAGGACTTTCAGGAGGGACACACACTTAGTGTGGTTTTCCTGAGGTCTTGCCAAGCCCTCACCCCTAACCTTCCCACTAGAATGGAAGCCAGAGCCATATATTGTAACGTGACTGTCCACAAATCCAAGAATGTTCATTCTCTCAGTTGGTCTTTCTGGAGGGCTTCTCCCTACACAGGGTGCTGGGACTAACATGTAATAGATTCCAAATGGAAATGGTAATAGGACAATGGGGATATAAATTAGAGCCGGGAGGAGATATTATTCAGGCTCTGCGACTCACACTCAATTTCTCTTAAATAATGTAAGGATAAACCAGAAAGTAAAGAACAAAATATCAATGTTGGGGACTAGAATAGTCAAGAACAGAATAGAATATTCAAGATACAAAGCAGGTCTGATGGTTATCTTGTCAGTTACTCAATAATGGGCCACTATTGCTGCCTTCTCTACTACTGCACCATTATGGTCTTTCAATTATTCTCTTTCTACTGCTTTGCTGCTATTTCTTTTTACAGTCCTTCTAACCAAGACCTCTGTTTACTGCTTTTTCTTTGCACGGTTTTTGGCTTCTGCCATCCCTCCCATGCCACCTACTCCCAAAGACCAAGTGTTCTGTCACTGTGTCTCATTTTCAAACTCCCCAAGAAAGAAAATGTTCTTTATGTAGCTATTCCTTGTTATCTCAGTCGGACAGAGCCACTATGTCCAGCTACCCCCTAGGCTGTAAGGCAGGCACTTAGCAACTGTGGGACAGCAGCTATTCTATGATCCAATGGGCTGTAGTCAGAGCCATGGGATCACACACGTCAGCTTTCTTCAAAATGGGTGGTGCAGGGCCGGCCCTGTGGCTTGGCGGTTAAGTGCGCACGCTGCGATGCTGGCGGCCCGGGTTCGGATCCCGGGTGCGCATCGAGGCACCACTTCTCCGTTCATCCTGAGGCCGAGTCCCACATACAGCAACTAGAAGGATGTGCAGCTACGACACACAACTATCCACTGGGGCTTTGGGGGGAAAAAATAAAATAAAATCTTTAAAAAAAAAAAAAAAAAAAAGGGTGGTGCATATACAAGTGCTCGGAGAAAAAGAGTTCTATGACAGAGGAGATCAGAATGGCTCCTTCCACAACGAGCACACAGGGATTGAAGCAGTTGGACAGACCTGGGTTTGAATCCTGCCTTGGCCATCGCTACCAGTGTGATCCTGGGCAAGTCACAACTCTTCTAGTCCTCAGCTTTCTCATCAGCAAAAAGGAGATAGTATGTTCACCTCCTAAAGCTACCGGGAAAAGGAAATGAAGCAGTGTACATAAAGCGCTTAGCACAGCGCCTGCCACATAGCAGCCACTCAACAAAATAATCTGCGTTAATGGGCTCTCTACACTCTTCCTATGTCTCCCTCCTAGCATCGTGATGACCACCTGCTCCACCTTCTTTGCCCTGGGCATGATGCCCCTCCTCCTGTATGTCTACTCCAGGGGGATCTATGAAGGAGACCTGAAGGACAAGGTACCTTATGGAGGCATTGTCATATCACTGATCCTGGTTCTCATTCCTTGCACCATCGGGATCTTCCTCAATGCCAAACGGCCACAATATGCACGCTATATCGTCAAGGTAAGAATCTGGGGGCCTGGGCAGGGAGCAAGAACACCACCATCCTCTCAGTGTATGGCTTGAGGCAAGTCATTTGGGCTTTTTCTGTGTCAGTTTCCTTGTTCGTTTAAGAAAAAAAAAAAGGTCTGCTATTGGTACACTACTTCATGGGATTGTAACGTGAGAATATTTCTGAAAAGCTGAGAGAAAAAAAGGAAAACATCCCACACAACTACAAGGTATAATCATTAGTTTAATAATATAAACTTGTATTATGCACCTACCAGATGCTAAGTTTTATGCTACACTCTCTGAGAATTCACTGTGCTCAGAGAGTCTAATATTTGCAGAAAGTGAAGTAACACGAGAAGCAAGATCCAACATGGTGTACAATCAGGTGTTGAAAGAAGGCAAAGAGGTGAGGTTAGTGAGGGCCGGTGGTCAAGGAAGGCTTCCAGGAGGGGACAGGCCTCACCCAGACCCTGAAGAAAGGGTTGGATTTGGGTCAGGCTGGGGAGAAGCCTGAATAGAGGAGTTCAGATGGGGGCCAAGGGTAAACTTGGCTGACCAGATAAGACAGAAGAGAAGAGAGGAGGGGAAGAGGTGGTGTACGCACTCCCCGCATTTCAGGGGTGTGGTGGGAGGGAGAATGGAGTAGGGCCCCGGAGGATTTGGGGAAGTGCTGTGGTTACAGACAGGGCATCATGCCACTGCCTTGCTCTTGGAAGAATCACAGACTCTTGGAGTGCAGCTAGGGTCCCTCTGCCAACTTTTGTGACCTTGGAGCTCAGTCCCTGGCAGTCTCCCCTCTGGCTCCCTGTTCATCCCCCAGGGCCAGGGCTCCATCCTGGTCCTCAGGAAGGACTCTGCCTCCTGACATCCTGAGGGCCTGTTTTGTCTCTGCCCCTGGAGCCATGCCTTTGAGCTGGTCTACAGGGCATGCTGCTTGGAAGCCCAAGACTTGGCAGCAACTTTGGGCCTGGGACAAAGAAGCTGCAAGTCAGGTATGCAGGGTTTTTTGATTTTCACACTACTATTGTCAAGGGTGGTCTTTGCCCTTATCCTGGCGCAATCCTAATACCTGGCTACAGCTCCCCTTCCCACCTGTTGGAAGACATGAAAGTCATTCCTCCTCCTGTTCCCAGCTGATCACCTCACCTCACCTCTGGATGGTATCTTCCGTTCCCTCCACCTTTACTTCTTGGAGACCTCCTTTTATTGTTTATGCCCTCCACCCCCACAGCCTCCATCCTCCAGCTCTTTTTTTTTTTTTTTTTTGAGGAAGATCAGCCCTGAGCTAACATCTGTGCTAATCCTCCTCTGTTTCGTATGTGGGACGCTGCCACAGCATGGCTGCTGATGAGTGGTGCAGGTCTGCGCCCAGGAACCAAACCCAGGCCACCAAACTGGAGCGTGCCAAACTTAACCACGAGGCCACAGGGCTGGACCCCTAGCTCTCATTTCTTAATTGTCTCTGTATCTGTTCTTCACAATCAGCATTAATACAGGTTCACATCTCTCCTATCTTTAAAGAAACAAAACAATCCCTCACTGGATTCCACCTCCCATTCCAGCCAACACTCCTCTTTCCTCCCCTTCCTAGCTACACTTCGGGAAACACCCCTCCCCCACACCCACGGCCTCTCGCACACCTGCCACTTCCACCACACCACCACCAGGGCTGCTCTCACAAGTGACCAGGCCTCAATTAGTCTCCGGTATTCGAATCCCACTCTTCTCTCCTTGGTCTCCCATCCACTCACCATCTTGATGACCACCTGGCTCCACTTTCTTTGCTGAATCCAATGGACATTTCTCAATTCTTTCTTGACCTTTTAGCAGCTTTTGGTACGGCTGACCACTGCCTCCTTCTCAGAAGCCTTCTCCCTCAGCTTGTGACAGCACTCCTGCTTTCCTACCACCTTTCTGGAACTTCTTTTCATACTCCCTTATGAGTTCCTCTGATAAAGCTTACTTCCCTGCGTTCAGCCCAAGCTTTCTGCTTTTCTTGCCAGATTTCCCTAAGCCCTGGATCTCCCCTCTGCAAGATCTGGTCCATCTCAATGACCATCTACAAGCTGATGATTTCCAGAAGAGCCTCTTCAGCCCTCAACTCTCTTCTGACTCTAGAATCCACTTATTAACTGCCAAATCTTTCCACCTGAATATCTCAGAGCTCTAAAACTCAGTATGTCTGAAACTAAAATCATCTCCTCCTCAAGCCTGCTACTCTTCTCCCCACCTCCCCTTGGGATTATCTCACCAAATGGCATTCGATGGGCCCAACTGCCAGTCAGAAACTGGAAAGTCATTCTCAACGTCCCTCTCTCCCCCCACTCACACCCACCTATCAGTGACTTTCAATTCTACCTTCTGTTGCTTGAGTCCACCCATTCTCCTCCATCTCTGCATCCACTATCTTCATTCAGGCAGCGATCCTCTCTCACTAGCCAACTGAAACAGCCTTCTAACTTGGCTCCCTGACCCAGTCTTACCCTGAGGGTGGAGATGCAAAGTACAAACTCGGTTACTTCACTCCACTGCTTCAAGCCCCTCACCGGTTCCTTACTCTCCCCAGAATAAAGTTTCAACTCCTTCACGTGGCTCCTCAGGCCTTTCTTGATTTGGTCTCAAATGACCTCTCCAGTCTCAGCTCTTTTCTCTTGCATATGCCCTTTCCTCCACCTGGAATCTTCCCCACATTAGCAGAAAACCAACCAACCAACCAGAAATGTGTTTGTGTCCATCTTATTTATTCAAGATAGTTTGGCGGGTATAGGGATAAAAAAAACTCACAGAATATAAAAATGTAAAGTGACCCTTGATATCATTTAATGCAACTCTGCCCTTCCCCATTTTATAGGTGAGAAAACCAAGGACCAAGTTCACACTGCTAATCACACTGATATAAGAACATGTGCCTCCTTTTTACCTTAAAATAACTTTAATTAAAAGTGTTCTTTTGGGGGCCAGGGCAGTGGCCTAGTGATTAAGTTTGCACGCTCTGCTTCAGCAGCCTAGGGTTCACGGGTTTACATCCTGGGCACGGACCTACATACTGCTCATCAAGCCATGCTGTGGTGGCGTCCCACAAAGTAGAGGAAGATGGGCACAGATGTTAGCTCAGGGACCATCTTCCTCAAGCCAAAACAGGAAGATTGGCAACAGACATTAGCTCAGGACCAATCTTCCTCACCAAAAAAAGTCATAAAAAGTAATAATAAAGTAATAAAAATAAATTTAAAAAAAATGTTCTTCAGAACTCAGATCTTAAAGCTGGAAAGGCTTTCAAGATAAAGTTCAGTCTCTTGCCTTATTCCCATTTTATAAACAGAGTAACTGAAGCCCAGGGAAGGTTCTTGGCAGTGCCAGGATTATCAACCAGTCTCCTGTTCCTGTTGTGTTGCACATCCACTACTCAATTCAATAGCAAAAACAGAGTCAAAATGACCCCAGAGAACATTAAAACGCCTTGGCTGGCAAGACTTGTAACAAAGAACCGCGTACAAGGTGATCTACAAAACAGAGGTGTACCTTAGACCCACTTTCAACCCAGGGTTGAACAACCAGAAGGTCAACAGCCCCATTTATCAAATACTCCCAAACCGTGAGGATGCAGACAAGCGTGTGGTCAACGTGCAAAAGCTGAGGTCTCCTTGCTTTTATGGCTGAGGGCTATGCTCATCTTTCATCTCCGTTTCATAAAATTTACTGAGTTACAAGCTAAAAAACGAGCAATCGTCCCAGTCTCTTTGCACACTTAACCCTCCTGGAGACTTTCAAATCAAAATTACCCAATTTCTATAATTAACTCTGCCAGAAGGTATCTGCTCAAACTCTGCTGCATCAGTCGCAGCCCCTAGTGGGAGGTCACATTTGGATACAAAATACAATTTCAGGGATGCCGTTTGGAAAAGCAATTCATGTAACACTTGAACTTACCCACGCAAGGGTTATACAAGGTTAAAAGGTTGATGTATCTGAACATGTCACAGTCCAGGAGCCATTTTTTTTTTTTCGTGAGGAAGATCAGCCCTGAGCTAACATCCATGCTAATGCTCCTCTTTTTGCTGAGGAAGACCGGCTCTGAGCTAACATCTATTGCCAATCCTCCTCCTTTTCTTCCCCAAAGCCCCAGCAGAATAGTTGTATGTCATAGTTGCACATCCTTCTAGTTGCCGTATGTGGGACGCAGCCTCAGCACGTCCAGAGAAGTGGTGCATCAGTACGCGCCCGGCATCCAAACCCGGGCCACCAGTAGTGGAGCGCGCGCACTTAACTGCTAAGCCACGGGGCCGGCCCCCAGGAGCCACTTTTACCACAAGCCATCCACCACTCATTAACAAAGATCCCATCATTACACGGACTCAACCAGTCTACCTATGCTTTTCCCATCCCTGCTGCTCCTGATGAACTGACCCGACTCGCTGCCTCATAGCTTCTGCCGGCTTGTGGCTTCTGCTGCTTCCAAGCTGCTGTGTCTTTTAACACTTGCCTCTGCTCCTGCTTCCCTCTCTGTAATTCTGCAAACTCCTTAAATGAGAGGATCTGATCAGTTCGGTCATTCACCAACTTGTGTAGGGCCACCTTTGTGGAAAGAGTTTAGGCCAGGTCATCTCCTGGGTCACCACAAGCTGATGAATGGACACTCCTCACGGCTTCAATCAGCTATGACAGGGCAGTGAAGTCAGGCAGTACAAAACACAGTGACCATGAAGAAGCAACTACCTATGGCCTTTGTCTCAGCAGGAGGTTGTGGACGTAAGATTTCCACAGATGGCAGGACTGAGAGTGACAGGAAACTCTGGGACGTTCAGTTCCTCTCCTTGATCTCTGAGTAATGACAGGAGCTACAATTTAGTGAGTGGTTCTCATGTCAGGTCCTGTGCTGTCCACCTCACCCACAGAGACTGAATGACTCGCCCAAGTTGACACACTCGGAGACCGGCAGAGCCAGCTTTCACACCTGGGTCACACCACCATCTGTGCTCATAACCGCTCCACAGCCCCCAAGAGTGGGAGGAGAGTGAGGGAATGAGAGTGAGAGCCCACACACAGGAAGAAGGCCTCTGGATTCGTGGGCAATTCATGTGGCCCAATGGCCCCCACACTATCCATTACACTCTCTCGATGGGGGCAAAAGCCGGTCATTGGGTAGAGGACAAAACCAAACGGTGAAATCAATTAAAAACGCACGGGCAAACTGGGGGGCCCACCACTTAGTCTTTCAATAAAACTTGGAAAAGGTGGTAATTGAGGAGATCTGTACAAGTCCTTCCTCGCCTGAGACAGGACCACTAGCTGGTCCCGGGGACATTTCATATAATCACGTCAGATGCAACATGGATTAAAAAACACAGAAAGGCAAAACTGTGCAGCTGAAGTCTGAGCAATATAAATGTTAAAATGTTACCAGGACAACGTTGTGAATGTAATTAATGCCACTGAACTGTTCACTTAAAAATGGTTAAAATGGCAACTTCTGTGTTATATGTATTTTACCACAACATTTAAAAATGGTACTAGGAAATATAAAATACCACACTTGAATGAACTGGAAACTGAACCAACGCATATAACCCTTATAAAATAACGTGCTAAGTTCAAGAAAAGTTCACTATATATTCCTTTACTCAGAAAATGAGAGGGACAAAGAGCGTTAAATTTGTGCGTATATTTTATCAGTTTGGAGTGTGTCGTTCTCTAAAATTTAGGTGCACTTTGAAGGCCTGCATCCTTGTTACATGCTGAAAAATCTTAAGGTTGTAATTTCATCATAAATCTACCTACTGAAAATTTCAAACAGTAAGATACAACTACAAAACAAACTTTTAATGAAAACATCCCATTGTTCATAATGAAAGCTGCTTTCACATTGCTTACCTGGTGAGGATGGACCCAGTTTCCAACGATGACGTTATTACCCAAGACATTTTGAAACTCCTTTGGGGATCTTCCTTCATATCCAATTTGCAGGTCCCTCAAGCGAGTAAGCTCATCCCTTTACAGTTATAGATCACTTGGGATCTAAAACCACATTACCTGACTTGATCACCCGCTTTGTTTACCAGCCTCGCTTCAAATGACTCTTGGCAATTTCCAAACACCAAATTCATCCTAAAACGGGTAAGTTCCCACTTGCAATGGAGGTATCTCAGACCAGTATGACAGGTTCTAAGAATAACTTCTAATGAGTTCCAAAATCTTTGGAGTGATGGCAGTGTTGTAGGACTGTGTACACAGGCTCCAGAGATAGACTCTGCAAGAGAACTTTTAATTCACAGGATCACTTTGAGGACTGAACAGTCTCCTTTCTTCACAACCACAGTACTTCACTGAAAACCTGCTATCCAGAGACGCAAGCAGAGCTGTGCTTGGCTGAATCTCTAGTAACAGAGATAATCTCTATAATCAGGTTACTCAGGTCTCTGTTCTCCAAGAAGCTTCCTAGCTACTGATAAAAATCTCAAAACAATGAAAGATGCAAGTCTTTTGTATTGCCTTCCACTTCAAACAGATTTTTTTTATTCAAGTGTTTTCCACCTCCAATGCCCACCGAATCTTCCCCACCCACCTCTGCTTCTCCCTGCCCCCCCCACAACTCTTCTTTTTGTCCTCCTCCACAGGGAGGGATGATCACCATGCTTCTGTTAAGCGTGGCCATCACAGCACTCTCGGCCATCAATGTGGGCAAGAGCATCTTGTTTGTCATGATGCCCCACTTGCTGGCCATCTCCTCCCTGATGCCTTTCATCGGGTTCCTGCTGGGCTACATGCTCTCTGCTCTCTTCTGCCTCAATGGACGGTAGGTATTGCCTTAGGCCCACTGTCCCACAGGACTCATTCTTGTCCTGGTCTCTCAGGAAAAGGACAAGATATGAGATCTGGGGAAGGCACTTTCCTACCAATATGTTCAACTGCATCAAGTGAAGAAGGAACTCTGGGCTGTGACAAATATCGAAGAGGGGAGGTATTGAATGGGTTAGAAACATACATCCAGAGACCAAAGGCAACGGCATCCAAAGAACAACAGCTCCTGGCAAAGTCTCCCTCCAGAGCCTAGATTCCGCCTCCTGCCCAACTCCCTGGTAGCTAACGGCACTGGGGTAGCTCCATGTCATCATGACGAGTGTTGATAATATACCTTTCCTGCCTAGGCTTTAGTCTTAACAAAAACACGGTTGGGTGCCACCTGTAGTAAGTGGCACTCAGAACTGAAGTAGCTGTGGAGCTTGGCTATAATCTAACCCAGTTCACGAACACAGCTGCTACTTTAGAGGAACAGACAGCTTGAGAGCCTGGTGTGGGAACATAAGGCGACCTGTCAATACAGAGCAACACCACATTTCAGGAACTTTTCCTCTTTCCAGCCATAGACAAATGCTATGCAGGAGTCGACACATTAGCAGCACCCTAGCTCCCCAACCCTGCCAAAAAACACCGAATTGTTTTAAAAATACAATTTAAAAATAATTATCCATTTTAAAAAGCATGCTAATAAAGAACAAACTACTATAGGACGTAACACATGGTGATATAGTAGAGTCAAAAGGCTGCCAACGACCGCTTGATGTCAATTTTCACGAACAGAGTGATACAAATAATAAACGGCCATGGCATCAAGTGCCATCACAGTAGTCTCCCTCTTAACAAATGTACTGAGACAGCTCTCAAGGGTTTTTTAGTGAATAATAACTGTTTTAATACACTAATTGCAATTCAGTGAATTGAACATGTGTTCATTAAATGTAAACACCTCATTCTTTAACCCATAAAATGTAAAGCAAAACCAAGAAAATGTGTTACAAAGATGGATAACGGGGTTGAATTAAGTTTTTTGGTTTTTTTCCAATCATCATGTGTTTTTGGAGTTAAAGATGTCAGAGCTAGAAACTTGGGAAGAGGACAAGGACCCCAGACATTTCAGTCTTCTACTCTGTGTTGAAACTGTAATTGTCCTATATGTAAACTCAACATACAGGCCAACAAATGATACAGGGTCACACCTCTCTTGCAACTCTCACCAGCCAGACATTCTCCAAATTTTAATCTGATAATCCCACAAAAGTAGACAAATCATCGATTTCCAACCTACTCAAAAATCCTCATAAAACTCCCTGACATGAAGCTCCTAGTCACCATCTTCCACAAGGCTGGATCTGTGATTTTAAGACATGGGTCAACTTGACTTTTCTTGAAACCACATACACTCTACATACAAGGCTCACTTCCCTCTTCCTGTGTTGGACTCTTCAGTGGGTCTTCAGAGTATCTCGCAGGAAGGAGATGGGCTGGGGAGGCTGCACCATCTCTCTTTCCGTGAAGGCATACGGAGTTGGGTTTTTTTAACCTACACAGGTGCAGACGCACTGTCAGCATGGAGACCGGATGCCAGAACGTTCAGCTCTGCTCCACAATCCTCAACGTGACCTTCCCCCTTGACGTCATCGGACCCCTTTTCTTCTTTCCTCTCCTCTATATGCTTTTTCAGCTTGGAGAAGGGCTTCTCCTCATCGCCATCTTTCGGTGCTATGAGAAAATCAAGCCTTCCAAGAGTGAGTATTGCATCATTCCCCTTGAGTTCTGCTCCCATATTGAACCTGATCCTGCCAGCAAGTTTCTGGCAAGGACTAAGCCACTAGGAACCAGGTAGCACCAAGAAGTAGGAAGGGACCTCAAAGAGCCAAGGCTCCTTCTTTAACGCACTCCATTTCTGCCAGTAGAATCAACTGGGGATGGAGTTTGCCTCATGGGATTGAGGTGATCTGGGGCTGCTTTGTTTAACTGGGGAGACCACATCGGGCTCCAGACAAGGAAATAAGACAGAACCATCGTGGACATTAGACAGTTGTGAGACAGTGTGTGAAAGGCCCCTATTCACAAGAGCTCAGGAAGTTTCTGCGTTCTTTAGGACTAGGTTCTCACTGGAACCAGTTCAGAGCCCCAGTACCACCGGCACCCCTATACAAGGGAAAACATAAAACCATGCAGTCTAATAACCCAGAATCCAAAAAAGGGGGCTTCCAATTCTGGTTACACAGTAAAGAAAACCCAAGCATAATCTTATTAAATAGTAACTATCACTTCAATAATCTAGTTTAATATGATTTATACTTTAATCTGATTACTACTGGATTAATAACTTCCTAGCCAATGAGTACCTTTTCCAAGACACTCAGAGCATTTCATTCTCTTCAAAATGTAATCAAACCTCAAGGGAGCCCACTGAGCCCCTTCCTCAAAGGGACTTGAATCCCAAATCTTTCAGTTTTTTCAAACCAAGAAACTCAACCTTACTTGGTAACATATTTCAGTATTTTCTAACTCTAAACATCAGTATATTCTTCTTAATCTATCAAATCCTTCAACTGACGGGAACTTAACTAAGGGCCCCCTTCAAGACCTTTTCCAGGCAGGACCATGGGGACTGATTTACACCCTAAGGGAAAGATGCAACTTCCCCCAGGGGGAATTCAGTATCTTATACAAGCAAATACGGATTTACAATTAGCTCAAGTGTCATCCTGGTTATCATGCAGCCACAAAGAAATCGATAAATAGCTGACCATACTTCAGAACCATTTTATAAGCTTTAAAAACGACAGTGGAGGGCCGACCCCGTGGCTTAGCAGTTAAGTGCGCGCACTCCGATGCTGGCGGCCCAGGTTCGGATCCCGGGCGCGCACTGATGCACCGCTTCTCTGGCCATGCTGAGGCCGCGTCCCACATACAGCAACTAGAAGGACGTGCAACTATGACATACAACTATCTACTGGGGCTTTGGGGGAAAAATAAATAAAATTACAAAAAAAAAAAACCCTACAGCGGAGTCGTGGAAAAGATCTAGTCTGATGCTTATCTGCGAGCAACTCAAGAAATCTGTTGTCCTTTGAAGTCTCCACCTTCTTACAGAAAAAAAAAATAAATGCTAGAGAGGGAAGAAGTTGCTGAAACCACCAACCAGGTGCCCAAGCTTGCAGTTTCAGTCCCAGAAAGGCCTGGAGTGTCCTCAAGGGGCCACATTCTAATCATGGGTCTTTGGCTCTCAAGACCTAAAAATAACTTCACTCACAAAGCACCTCAGAAGACCTCTGTGGCAAAACTAAGTGAAAACAACTTACCGCTTCGGAGTTTATGGACTGTAAGGGCCCAAGCAGCAGTGGTCAGGGTGAAGAATCTGTCACAAATTTTGTGCTTTTAACCCCTGTACCCTTCTACAGAGATGGGGGGATCGGGGAACAGGAAAGGTGGACCCTAACTCCTATCTACACAGCTCTTGCCCACATCCATGTAGGCAGGAAAAGGGGTAGACCAAAAAAATGGGGGGAGGAGGAACCTTGAAACTCACCTTGGAAGACTTCCCTACAGTTTTTTCCTCCCTGCCCACTCCTTGATCCCAAATTGCAACATCTTGCTTAAACTCAACACCCCTACTGTAGTGCATATATAAAGAAGTGGAGATGGGATGATGAAAAGTCAATATTCTGCTATATTAGACCTTTTGTTACTAGCGTTACCATTAGGAATGTTGAGGTGAAAGCAAATCTTTCCTTAGACTTTAAGAGTAAGTCCTGGGAAAACAGATGGTAAAGATATAGGAAAAAAACAAAACAAAACCACAAGTACACCCTAGAGGTAAGTTGATATTCTTTTGTCTTCCAGGTAGAACAAGCTTTGTAATAACTACTGTTTTCTTTCCCCACTCTTGACCCTTTTCAACTTCACAGATAAAACAAAAATGATCTACACAGCTGCCGCAACTAAAGAAATCATTCCAGCAGCTCTGGGAAATGAAACCCACACACAGGAGGAATGCTCCCCTTGCCCGGCCTAGCCTTCGTCCAGTGGCCTGGATTCTGGTCAGAAGGCAATTCAGAAGGGATGTGTGGGAACTTCAGAGAGCAGAGGAAACACCAGTAGTTATCTGAGTCTTTCCCCAGCATTTCCAGCCGGAACTATCAGAATCCTCAAGCCTTGCCTGGAAGACAAAGAGAGTCTACCCAAAAAGCCTCACCTATCCCAAGCTTCGAATTTTGATACTTGTTTAGAAAAAAAAAAAAGGACACACATGTTCATTGACAGCCCTATGAAAGCAAAAACCAAAACTATCTTTGTGCCCCTGTATCTCTAGAACAGTTCCTGACAAGTATATAAAAGGCAATTTCTGAATTAGTCAATAAATAGGTTTTTTTAACCTAAAATCAATTACCCAAATATTGTTCCAAGTTTTGTGACACAAAAAGGAAATAAATGCTCAGAGCGCTGTAGGATTAGTAGACTTCAGATGTCCTTTATACTCTTAAAAATTCAGATCCCATTCCTTCCCTTTTGACATTATTGAGATCAAAGCTCCTGAGAACACAAATATGACACCAAGTATATAAAAGCAGACATGATAACGCGCAAAGGCAATTAGACAAGACAAACTCAAAAACCCAGTCGTAATGAAACAAGACAACATTTTTGTAGAATGCAATCCCAAAAGTAGAAGGGGGAAATACTTTAACAAGGAAAAGCCAGGAAACAACACAAATATCAACAAAATTGTTTCACTAACCTAATAATCTAGCCCCAGTTCATTAGCTATCAGTGGTTTTCACATTATGCTCCCTCAAAATTCAGAGTACTGCAAGCTATTGCCAAAATGAGTGGTTTCTCAATTCAAAGAAAAATACTCAAATTAGAATTCTTGGGCCGGCCCCGTGGCTTAGCGGTTAAGTGCGCGCGCTGTGCTGCTGGCGGCCCGGATTCGGATCCCGGGAGCGCACCAACGCACCGCTTCTCCGGCCATGCTGAGGCCGCGTCCCACATACAGCAACTAGAAGGATGTGCAGCTATGACATACAACTATCTACTGGGGCTCTGGGGGGGGGGGAATAAATAAATAAAATCTTTAAAAAAAAAAAGAATTCTTTTAAAGTTCAAACTTTCTCCAGTGAAATTTAAACATTTTACATATTACTCATATGCAAACAAGCATTAGATGAAAGATTAACAAGCAACCAATACTAACACCTGTAAACAGCTGACCATGCCCACTTACTCGTGGTTTTCATATCATTTAATATGATTAGGTACAACTGAAACCAAGACAAGTTAATTTTAGGGCATCACTCTGGCAAATGTCCAGGACTCCCAATAGCAGAACAAGTTTAAGAATCAACAATTTGGGTCACTAACACCCTATTAAAAATGCAGAGTTGCGAAAAGGTCTGCCACCTATCATTTCTATGTATTATACCCATATTTATGCAACCGTTTAAACTCTTTTCTCTATCTATCCAGCAAATGTACTTAGTTAAGTACAACAAAGTAACATAAAAACAGGCTTATCTAGCTTTTTAAGGAAGGTAGGGCTGTACTCAATATTACCCTCAAACTTTGCCTTACGTAACTAGATGAAAGGAATATACAGAACACAAAAGTTGCACTATGTTCTGCAAAGGCTGGTCCTCAAACTTTCTTTAGGCTTACACCCCATCCTCCTCACAAGACTTCCCGGGTCCTCGATTTGGGAATTTAGGCTAACTTGGTTCAAACCCACCCTCAGCCACCTCTGCCATTTGTTCAAAGAAAGCGTCTTATTTTATTGCCTCACTGTATAACAAATATCTGTAACATTAAAGTGGTAAGCCACTGATATTTACCTCAAGGGGAAAGAGACGAAGGAAAAAAAAAAGTCAACTGGTAAAATATACACTATTCCACCCTGAGTTACCTTATTCAAAAGCCTAAGGGAAAACAAATTGCCTCTCCATTTAATAGCAACTGAGGGCTGACTTGTACAGCCTCCACAGATGTACTACAAAGAAAAAACCCAGGTTCCACCATTTTACAATAAGCCAGTGCCCTCCATCCACGTAAATTAACAAGTATACCACACAAGCCCTCCCTAGAATCAGCCTCACATTCAAAGGATCAGCTTCACAATTTTATAGCCTAAGTTCCAGTCTGGGATACAGGGGAAAGTGGCCTTCATGCAAATATACCAAAAACCTTTCAAACCTACCCCCAAATGGAGATTCCCACTACCCAATCCCCGCACTTTGCGGAAGCCAAAGTCAATCTTTCTAGTGCTTCTAATTCAGCTTTCCCCAAAATACCTGCAAGGCTAGGGCAGATGAGTCCGTGCTGAAAAGTTATGGTTTTGGGGTTGTGGAAGTAGGAGGCTCTTGCTGGGTTCTAAGACCAGTCCACCCTTTACTTGCTCTTCTCTTTGGCCCTGAACTCCCTCCTGTAAAATGGTGGCATTACATAAGTAGTTTTAGAAATTCAGTGAATATGCAGTCAAGGCACTTAAAACCATGGGTCTGGCTACTATGTGTTGTTCACTGTTACCAAATATTTATCGAGCGTAGCGCTCAAACAGAGGACTAAGAAAACCCAGTCTCCAAAATTCCTAGAAGAAACAATGGAGCTCATTACCTGCAGGTAGAGGGCTCTAACATTTAATAAAGATGGATGAAAACCTTAACCAGTTTTTACTATTAAATTGTTCTTCCCTTAACATACTGCCACATCTATGTCTCAGGACTAAAGGAAAAAGCATGTCAAAGCCCTTTAAAGCATTGGTGTACACGGATTTAAAAAAAAAGTTTTATGTGTTTATCTCTGACCATCGAAATTATATTACAATCTGCAAGATGGGCATGAAACATTAACGTTTACAGTTTGCCTCCCAAACTGTCCTTCCCCTGACTACAAGAGAAAGAGCATGGGAAAATCACATACAAAGAAAACTGTCAACTGTGAGCTGTCATTGTTTTGAAGAGTTCACTGACTTCTCCGCCCATCTACTGACCAGCCTGGAAAGGTCAGAAGTACTATTTAAATTCTTAAAGAAAGAAAGAAAAAAAAACCCAACCATCCAAACAACTCCAATTCTCTACAAGGGATTTTAAATGTGTTGAATGTAGAAGGGGAGGGAGGGAGGAGTAAATAGGATACTTCCTTCAGACAAACAGACAAAAGCAGTTTTGTAATCTTTTATTATCAATAACAAACAGCTGCTTTTACGTCTTGGCTAGGCAGCTGTTAAAGGCTGGGTGGGAGGACACCCTTAACCCTAACAAGGAAAACTCAAATTAAGCCTTTATGTACAAGCAAATTTAGAGCTCTTTTACGTGTCCAAAGCTATTAATTAGTTTAATTGAGGCATTAAACTAATTCTGAATTAACATATTTGAATAACCAGGAACTAAAATGTTCAAATTTTTTCTAGTACAAAAAATTAAATTTGCTTTAGTTATAAAAGAGCTCTGTCAATATACACAAACTATATACTTCAGACATCCACAAAAATGTGAGCAGAAGGCTTATCAAAAGACATTTAATACAATTAGTTTTCAACAACCCCTCGGTGGTCCACATCTACAAAGATATCCAGCCCAACCCAACCCCCCTCCAAACCCCACCCCCACAGAAAAGCACATACTTACCAGAATTTTTAGCAAGTATGGTTTGGGAATTTGTTTTTTTTTAAAAAGGCCCCCAGGGCAAGTTATTTACAGTTTAATTGCCACTGTCAACTGATCTGGACCTGGACCGGGACCGAGATCTGGACCTCTGGCGATCCACAGATGCTGGAGACTTAGATCTACTTGAAGAACCACGTTTCTGGCTCTTCTCAGGCACAGGAGACCTACTAACAGAACGGGACTTGCTCCGGCTCCGGCTCCTGCTCCTGGACCGACTGTAAGACTTGCGACTCCGGGAACGGGATCGGCTACGAGACCTAGAGGAACTCCTGCTCCGGGAACGAGACCTGCTTCGTGACCTACTAGGAATGAAAAAAACAAAAAAACGTTAAGTGGCAAGCCCTACGAATCCATTAAATAAAACTTGGACTTGAAAACATTAAAGAGATACCTGTGCCTTTTGCTGCCTTCGATTAATTTGATTTTTCTCCCATTTATTTCCTTTCCAGAAAGTTTTTCAATAGCATTCTTTAAGTCACCATAAGAGGCAAACTCAACCACCCTACAACAGATAAAAGCCATTTGTAAAGTTACACACATTTTATAGTACCAAAAACTACAGTCTAGACTAAGCACCTTTTCTCTGTTCATTTTGCTACCACTGTATTAAGAGTCTTATCTCTTGATGGATAACACAGCATTAGAGTAAGGTTTCTCAACCTGCAAACCACTGACATTTTAAGCCAGATATTTCTCTGCTGTGGGGGGGCTGTCCTGTGCATTGTAGGATGCTCAGCAGCATCCCTGGCTTCTACCCACAAGATGCCAGTGGCACCCTCAACCAGTTAGGACAACCAAAAACGTCTCCAGACATTGCCAATTGTTGCCTGGAGAGCAAACTCATCCCTGATTGAGACCCACTGCATTTGAGGCTGTCCAAATTTTAAGTACTCAGAAACATGCACAATAAAAATCCCAGGGTGTTTTAAAAGTCTCTTATTTTCAGTATATACTCACCCTTCATTTAATTTAGGTCGATGTGCATCAGCAAAGGTTACTTCCCCAGCTTGTCTCATGAAATCTTTGAGATCCTTAACACAAGACAATTGTGTTAAGGAGAGAAAAGGAAACGTGACACACAAACAACCACATGGTATAAAAACAAGACTACTGAAAGAGAAGATGTTAGATAAAGTACAAACATGGCATTTACCACACTTGTATTCTATCAGAATTCAAAAATTATCTATGTCAGGGCACGAAAAAAATAGCATATTGCTTTTAAGCAAAATGCTAGAGGAAACTGAAATTTTAACATTAAAGTAGTATTAGTCTATACTGAGCTCAATACAAAAGGAAAAAAACAAAGAAAAAAAACAAAAACAAACAAAAAGGAACAGTACATATTTTTAAAGTAAAGACTAAAGTAGAAATTTTATATTTAAAAACAGAACATTTACAAGACACCAGTTATTTTGTGCCCCATATGTCATTAAAAAAGTTTACTTTACCTTTATTATTATATCCCTAGGCTAGTCAAGCAGCAAACCAATAATCGGTCGGAGAAACCTTCATGACATATGCCCGACTGGCTCTTCGCCACCCACTTGAAGGACACTACCCAATCGATGGAAGCCTTTAATCGCACAGCCCTCCCTATAAGCAGACTACTGGCGATGCAGACATGTTCTACTCTTGTGCAGTTACCAAGGACCACTTTACTGCGATCAGGATTCCAACGACCACCTAATTTCGTATCTTTCAACTCTTTTCGACCAGGACCTCTTATTCGGAAGCGTTACAGAAGACAGCTCTCAACTTAGGAATCAGATCACGTTATCAACGCTCTGGGATCGCTGCAACCTGGCACTTCAAGTAAGTGCACCGATTACGTCTAGACCGGCAAACACAGATCTAGAGGTGGCCAATTGATCACTGTAGGAGCTGACTGGCAAAGTCAACCAGGCCCAACCAAGAGTGACCAAGACAACGATTAGGATAACCCACAGGCACTCCTCGTCATAAGGCCAACGACACAGATAGGCTGGCAAATAAAGGGTTTAATATTTGGTTAAAATTGATTTTAAGAAACAAGAAAAAATATCCTCAAAACATTTACATTTGATCACTAATATTAAAATTTGAAATATCCCCCAGTTACGTTTAATTAAAATTTTAAAATTACAATTAAATCCATTAATTTAATTAAATTTAAAACTACTTTTAACAAAACATATTAATAAAAATTAGCTACCCATTAACTTTTAAAAAGCCACATTAAAATAGCTCAAAACTGTATTTCAACAAACCTGCCAGCTGACTCTTGAAGATAAATTCTCAACTATAAGCCGATTTTCTGTTCTTACAGGTGGAGCATTTCTGAGGAAGAAAATGAGTACTCACAATGGAAGAAATGCAGTGAGGTGCACTTATTGTGTTCAACTGTGGGCAAGTTCAAGCAATCAGATATGACAAGTCATTCAAATGGCTTCCATCAACAGTTCCTGCATTGTTTTTATATGAATAATTATACAGACTTTCAACAGTGGACTAACATAGGAATAACCAAACCGATTACACAGTAAATGCCAGAATCACCTATTACTAATGGTTCTTGAACATTAAATACATCTTCTGCAGTAATGATCATTCAAAGCAGCCATCCATGATCCACCACATACCGTCTATCATTTCGAGGCCTTCGACTACTAAAACGGTCAGAGTAGCGTCCTCTACCTCTTCCACCTCGAGATCGAGCCCTAGCATGTTCAATAGTAACCCTACAGGAAGGAATGAAAAATCTTCATTATCCACTAAGCTATATAAGTGATCTACTTAGGAAAACACCCCCGCTGACCCAGTCTGCTCTATTTCACAGTGCTAACTAGTTATAAAACTAAAAATAAGACTCTCACCTTTCACTGCAAAGTTCTTTTCCATCAAGTTCATACACAGCATCATCCGCGTCCCTGGGATCCTCAAATTCCTAAATAGAAGCATGAAAAAAACACAATGCGTTAACATGGCTATAAAAGTGTATTCTACAACATAATAAGAGAGCTAAAGACATGTGACACAATGGGAGCATCTCTTAATGACAGTGCCATATAGATAAGCCTGATAGAGAAGAGACCAGCAGCGGTTTCCCTCCAGCCAGCAGTGAAGTTCTTTCATCCCCTTGGAAACTTCACCACCTTAAGGATTCACAACGTTTTCTAAAGCTACTCCACCTGGACCCAGTAAGATCCAAAACACTGCTTATCAAAATCTTAACCTATTCCACAATAGATAATCCGGCCAATCTGAACACTTACCACAAAACCAAAGCCTCTTTTCAGATCAATGTCTCTTATCCGTCCATACCCCTTGAAGAATCGTTCCACGTCCTTCTCCCTGGCCGCTGGATTTAGCCTCCCGATGAACACCCGACAGCCACTCATGACGTCCGGCTAGGAGGTCCTGTTCGAAAATAATTCAATTGAGATAATACCAGTGAACATCCGAGGAATCCCTGGTCAAGGGGTCAAAGACATAAACAGCATAAAATAAAATGTTTACCCGGTGATGTTACAAACAAGATTGCCAAGAGTGCCTCTTATTAGGCCAGGTCCCTTGCAGACAAAATTAAAACTCGGCTCCCAACACGATCCTTCCCTGGGCCCAGACCGCAGCAACCGCAACGCCCACTGCCGCCTCCGGAACTGCGCAGCCGCACACTCTCCCCGGCTCTTCTGGCCCCCTCCCATCTGCCGCAGTTAGGAAAGGCCGAGAAGTGCGGGCGGAGCCGGCCCCGCCCTCCGCCAGGCCAGCCCAATGGCGACGGGCCGCGCGCGCGTCGCCGCCTCCCGGGAGCGTCACAGCGGGGGAAAGCCGGAATCTCGCGAAGCCACGGCCGCGCCTGCGCAGACGGCAGCGGGCGGACGCCGGGCAGCCACAAAATGGCGGCGGCGTAGCCAGCGGTGGGGAGAGCCGCGCGTGCCGAGCTCCCTTCTCCCTCCCCCTCCCCCGACTCCACGGTTCCGGAGTCCGTGGGCCCACCCGCGGAAAGCCCTAGCCACACCCCGAGCAAAGATCTCGGCCCGCCACTCGGGGGGGGGTTCGGACAGTGATGAGGTAGAGAGGCAGGGAGGGGCATCCAACCCCTCGGTGTGAAAATGACCATAACCACGACCGCCCTTCCACCTTAGCTTCCCCTCAAACAAGACCCCAAGGGAGACGTGCCCCAGCGCCCACCTCGAGTAAACTGCGCTCATTGGACGCCGTCCTCCGCAAAGAGAGCAGCCCCGGCCACTCGCCATCCGAGCGGCCATGAAGAAGCCTCGATCCGAGAAGCCTTGCCCTCAAAGTGAACCACTCACCTACCGGACAGGATCTTTGGCAGCAGAGACCCAGAGAGGTCCGTAGTCTGCGACGGAGCCGTCTGCCTCCCCGCAGACCAGGACCCAACTCGTCTACGTCTCCCCACAACTGACGCACTTAGCTGCTCGGGCGTTCCACAAAATGGAGGGCGCGCCCCTGCGTCACTTCCGGAACCGCCCCTGGACCTCCCCCCCGGAGCCGGGGACAAAGTTCCCGCGGGGCCCGGGACTCTGGACGGTGACCGCCGAGCCACCCTCACCGCGAGGGGCGGGGCCGGGGGCGGGGCGTGGGCGCGGCGCCAGGTGGCCGGCGCTGAGGGTACAGCTGTTGAAGACGTTCGCCTCTCCTAGGCCGTGAGGTTGGCTTCGTCGTTCTGTCTCCCACAAAATCACCCTAAGACAGATGACACCCCTTTTCCATCTAGATTTTTTTCTAGATACCCCGAGGTGTACTGGTAAAAGAAACTCAGGCTTTGCAAAAATATCTGGCCGTCTCTGACCCCTTGCTGCTTGCAATTTAAGGTTGCGCTTTGGAGGGCGCTCCTTGATGCTCAAGTGACTATTTTAGCCCTACCACGGACGTGTGGTTTAGTTATGGTAAGAAGACTAAGGGACCGCAGTATTTTTTACATGGAAGGTTTTTGCGTGGTGAAATATTGAAATTGGAACTGCAGCTGGAAGGCCATCTTAAATTGAGGCCAGGACGCAGATTTCTGCATTTCCGCTACTCTAGGACTGCGCTGGCTGGAGGAAGTTTCAAGCTACTTTTAAGTTCAAGTGGTGTTTGGTTAACCCTCCCTGTTCGGGTTTCTGTAACACGTGGAAGTCTACCATTCTTCAGAAACTCTGTGTTTTCAAAGTGGGTATGAAACATAGTCCTCCCCCTCCTTACCTCCGCGTTTTCCCAGTAATGCTGGCAGGCTTAGAAATTTAGGCATAAAGAGACCGATAGTGAAAAGGTGACTTTTCTTGAGTGTTTTTAGGTGGAACCCAAGGCATTCCATTTTTGAGAGGTGCCGGGAATCTAGGGTTGCTGCTTGCCACTGGAGTTACACGGCGATAAAGTAGTTCTACAAAGAGCAGGACTTCCGGACCTTACTCTTATCTGGGGCCGGTAGGAACTCTGGACTAGAACTTGGATGGTTTGTATGGCTGAGCTCGTCCATGCATATATTTTAATGATTAAAAAGTGCTTCAGGGCCGGCCCTGTGGCTTGGTGGTTAAGTGCGCGCGCTGCAATGCTGGTGGCCCGGGTTCGGATCCCGGGTGCGCATCGAGGCACCACTTCTCCATCCATCCTGAGGCCGAGTCCCACATACAGCAACTAGAAGGATGTGCAGCTATGACATACAGCTATCTACTGGGGCTTTGGGGGGAAAAAATAAAATAAATAAAATCTTTAAAAAAAAAAAAAGTGCTTCAGCGTGTACACAGCACGCTGTGTACTTGTGAACTTTAGCTCCTTATGGTGAGGGAATTAAAGATGGATTTAAAAGAAAATATGTATTAGCTAAATTAAAAGAAAACACTTATCTTTAGCTGCCAGCCTGATCAACATTGGCAATTTATAATACACATATTGTCCCAAGCACCAGTACTTATTTAATTACATTTGTTAGCTTTTTGCATAATTAAAAAAAATAGGTCTTCCAGTTAGTTTCTACATTTTGCGTCGACTATGAAGCAACTGCTTGTGGTTACACTCACTAAATGTTATTTTTGCTGCAATAAGAGAAAGTAATCTGGAAAAGGTTTTCTGGGCGTGAAAAACAAGAATGAGGGTGCTGTATGCCATGGAAAAAGCTGCTATCTTCAGCCCGTGGTGGTGTGGTTTTCTTCAGGACTAATTTTTTTATAAAGCTTTTCCTCTTGATTTATTTACTGTTAAGTCTGTCATTTCAACAAAGGTAATTTTTCATTAGTAGTTCCTTGACTTAGTCTGTATTTTAAACCACTTGTCTTCTGCAGTGTTTGTTTTTTCTATGACAACTGCCTAGTAAATCTCCCTTCCGGATTCTTACCAATTTCTCCAATAAACACAAAGTCATCTTCCATGAGCAGAATTACTCTCCCTCCTGTGTGATCCTACAATATTCTGTGTATACCCTGTGTATAATTCCTTCATCACTCACTTGTAATATACATGTGTTATTCATGTTTTTGTTTCCCAGAAATGCCTAGCAGAAAAGACTCAATATTTGTAGACCTGGATTTGCATTAGCATTTGGGGGGGGTGGGTTGTACTGTTCCTATATTAATGTTTCAACAAAATGGCTTGGCATCCTTTTCCTAAGACATCTGAGTAGCAAATCTTTAGTAAAGGAAAAATGCAGAGAAATCACGGATTAAAATAAACACAAAGTTGATTGGCCATGTCTGTTGGGGACTCTCGGCATAACTGTGGGATGTTTCATTCATCACGTTCCTAATTTCATCTAACTCAGGGGTCAGCAAATTACAGCCTGTGGACTTAATCCAGCCTGCCACCTGTTTTTGTAGGGCCTGAGGATGGTTTCACGTTTTTAATAGGTGCGGGAGGGGAATCAAAAGAAGAATAATATTTCACGGCATATGAAAATCGTATGAAATTCAAAGCTCAGTATCCATTAAGTTTTTTTGGAACACAGCCACTCCTGATCATTTACTTATTGTCTACCTCGGTTGTCCTGCTACAAAAGCGGGGCTGAATAGTTGTGATAGGGACCGTGTGGACCACAATACCTAAACTATCTACCATCTGGCCACTTTCATGACCCCTGAGCTGATTCCTAAACTTTAAACTGCTCTGGGAATGCTCCACCCAACTCCCTTTGTCAGATAATAAAATCAAACAAGAAGACAAGGATTTGATCTTGATTTTTAAATAGTTTATTTTATTCCAATTATAATAAGAAATATATGCTCGTTATTCCAAAAATGTTCAACAGGAACAATAATTGAAAGAGGAGAACACTCATGATCCATCTCACCAAATCAACCTCTGATTATATTTTGCTGTATTTCGTTCTCGTGTTTTTACCCCTGAGAGTTTAATATATGTTTTCCAATTCAAAAGTAATACATCATCATTTTAAAAAATATAGATATGAGAATTTAAAAGGCCATCCTTATTCCTAACCCTGGAGGATAACTATTTGGCTTTTTATATTTCCCTTTAGTGTTTTCCTGTAAGCACAATTGCATTTTCAAAATATGAATCATCCTCATTTATAGAATTTGGCATTATGAGGGTTTTTTATTCATAAAACTTAATCATGGGTATTTTTCCATGTTTCTTTGTTTTAATGTATTTATGATCAAAAGTGTATATCCAGATTTATATTTATTTTTCCACTTAACATGACACAACTACATGCCTGGGGACAATATTCATTCTTACCAGCAATTTTGTTTTTCTGAAACAGTCCGAAATATCACCAGATGCTTAAAAATTCATATCCGAAACTCCCAACACTAAGAAAAAGTGTTGCTCCCTCGCTTCTAGCTAATAACTCTAAAGATTTTTTTGAAAGAGTACCCTTAAGGAATCACTCTTGAAAATTTATGGTTTTTAAAAATGTTCGGTTTTTGTTCAGATTCACCCCTACATACCTCTCTGACTTCTCTCTATTCCAACATCCTGGTGTTTTGTTGTTGTCCTTTAGTCGTGCACAGTAATTAAAGTGCCTGTGGACCCACTTCTTTAATTTGAGTGCCTGGATCAGTTTTTCTCAACACAGCTGTGCTCTGAAATCACCGGGAAATGTCTGTAACATTCTGCTGCTGGGTCCCTGCTGGCAGACATTCTGATTTCACTGGTGTGGGGTGGTGCCCTATTTGTTAGTAAGGGCTGCAGGTGATTCTAATACTCAGCTGGGAGGATCAGAGGAGTGTTGACCTGGATCTAGGAACTCACTGTTCTGTCCTCCATGAACTCCATCTGTCATCTGGCTCCATCTTCCCTCCCCCAAGGACTCACATCTCACTCAGGTTATGGCTGGAGCCCGGACTGGGACAGTCATGGGGAAGCAGGTTTGGGACACAAACCATTCTAACATCAAGAGAAACTTAAATTCAGGGCGCCTAAGCACATCGTCCCTACCCTCCCCCTTTATACTGACAGCTGCCGTTTCCTGAGCTGTGTTAAGGACATTACACACATTATCTCAGTCAATCCTCATGCCAGCCCTTCCATGTAGGTGTTATTATAACATTTTTTAAATGAGGAAACTGAGGCTTAGAGAATCTAACGATCTGGTCTGCCCAGAACATCCACTTTCTGATTTTCCGATCAATGCCCTTTCACAAAGCTGCAGCATGACCTTCCTGTGATACCTGTCTGTGCACTAGAGTGGCCAGCGAAATCCCAGAAGTGGGAAGCACTTCTACTGAATTTGCAGAGTCCTGACCACCAAGGCCTGGGAAGGTTGGAGTGAAATAGAGCTTAGAAGAGGGGGCCGGCCCCGTGGCTTAGCGGTTAAGTGCGCGCGCTCCGCTACTGGAGGCCCAGGTTCGGATCCCGGGCGCACACCGACGCACCACTTGTCCGGCCATGCTGAGGCGGCGTCCCACATACAGCAACTAGCAGGATGTGCAACCATGACATACAACTATCTACTGGAGCTTTGGGGAGAAAAAGGGGGAAAAAAAAA